CTTAGCATCTCATGTAATGTTAACACAATAGATTAACAAAATAGTCAAGAACACAAAAATAAAAAACTAACAATTCATATAGAAGAACAACACTTACAGTGCAAATGACAATGTGCAAATTTTTTTTAACCCAGAAGGCAAACCACCGCATCCAATGGGGCAAATGCCGGAGAACATTTGCCGTTATTTTATTAAAAATCAAATGATACAAAAAGGAGAGGGGGACCAGACCAAGACCTCTCCCAAAGAGGCATACCGCATACCTCCTCAAAATTCGAACTGTGGATCGAATTCGGACAGAAGCTGCTGCCCAAGAATTGTGCCAGAATTTCCGAGCAGGTGCATTCTCCAGCATACACTGAGACAGGGGTTTTAAAATCAGGTCTCTCCTGTCAACTGTCTCACAGCTTTCTGAAATCAGAAGGGGAGGAACGTTTTGGAAAGCTGCTATTAGTGTTTTGGGAATATGAAGGAGAAGGGGAGAGGGAAAAATAGAGAAAACATTACAATTCCGTCTTGAAGATTAGTATTATACTACAGATGTAACTTCGTTGCAAACTGAAAGAGGTCAAAAATATTGTTTCCCGGAAAGAACTACTTACCACTGATAGAAAAACCTGACAATGTGCATATAGATACTGAACCTGATTAAATTTATGCTCCAGACAAAATTTACTAACTTTCCAATAAGTATGACCTGAAATGGAAACAACAATTTAGAAATATACGGAGTAGAACACTAAGTAGTAAATATACACATAGATGGGATGGTCCTTAACTGGGTCCACAAGGGGATGCACAGGGGATGGTCTTGGCTGAAATTCTTTTATCAAACAAAAAAACAACAAACCTAAAATATGCTAGCTAAATAATACAGAGTAGTAAGTTAATACATTAAATAAGTGATGATAACAAATCTGCAAACAAAAGAAACACTTTATTGCCTAAGAAATCTGTAGGAAAATATGATGTTTAGGGAATCAATATACTACGCTTACCACCTACAAAATAATAAATAAAAACAAATTTTTAAATTTTTATTTAAAATCTTCCATGAAGAGCACAAATTTAAAAAAATAGCAATTAAAAATGAAAGATATTACTTACATTGCAAATAACAATGAATATAAATGCTTAATTTGATTCAGTTCATTATTCCAGGGCAACATCAATATAATATATTTGCATCACTTTGAGATACATCATACATATATACCTCATACTTGCCTTTGATGATATGGACGTTCTCTGTGCTTTCCCGAATCTCGTGACACTTTTGTTGCACCGGGCTGTTGAAACAATTGTGGGTCAGCATGAAAAGAAATTAAAAAAATGATTTAGGTTCCTAAAACTTATAAGGTATTCACAATACAAATTTTCAAAAGAACACTTTTACCATCCAAGTATACCTCTCCCTAAATGTAAACAAACTTGAATGCCACTAGAAAGCTTCTTGCCTTGATATATTTAGCCTCTTGCTAACAGAATACATAACATGTACTTCCAAAAAAACAAAGAAGGAACACATTGGTTCTTAGAACATGTTTCACTTCAAGATTATGGTTTCTATAAACTTAAAAAATTCATTAACTCTTTGAGAACTTTTCTCAAACACTACACTTGCTACATTTTGGTATTCAGTTAATTTAGACTAACTACAGAAACCTTTTACTTTTTCATTCATTTACACACAAACACATTTAAAATAAATTAGACCATGTAGGTGAATAAAAATGCAGACTCATAGAAACTACGAAGTCCAAACACGGAGCCAACAATGAAATTGTGTATCATTCAGAAGGAACAACACATACTTTTTGTTCAGCGTCTTCAACACCATCAACCCCAAACACAGGAATCGGACGATGGCTCGCGCACCATCATCTACAGGGGACGATGCCATCACTTCCACCCCAATCGCCGATTCCCGTCGCTCCAAAGCACCAACCCGGAAATCAATTGGGCAGCGGAGAAGGATAATCGCTACCACCTATTAAGACTCGGAAACGAAATCCCCCCCCCCCCCCCCTGAAGGTCCATAAAATTGCAATTCTTCTGCGAAGACCCTAAACCATTTGAACACTCTAGAAAAATTCGAAGAAGTTTCCAAAGGATGAAGAACGAGTAGATGGAAAAAGCACATACCTGGACATTGGGGGAAACCGCTGCTCGGACGGGAAACGAAACTCTCTGGCTCTGTCAAATAGTCGCTCGATCATGAGGGGTAAAGCTTCTACGAACAAACGCCTGAGCTTCTACGACCGAACGAATTGAAGAGGACGGTAGAGTTCAAATTTGTAGTGAGTGCGGCGGCTAGGGTTCATATGAAGGAAGGGAGGGTAAAGCTGATTGAGTATGGGTGAGGAAGAAGTCGACGATAAAATAGAGTGAAGTGTTAAAATATAAAGTAAAAATGTCTAAGTAAATTAAAAGAAACGGGTCTAGTGTCAGTATAAGATGTTGATATTATTATATCAGAAAACCATGACACTTTTATGTAAAAAAGAACATATGTGACACTTTCAGGCAGAAAGTGTCACTAACAAAGTGTCACTATAAGCCAATTTTCTAGTAGTGCATAGGAGTTCATGTAATTGATATCCTCGGGTTGAATAGCATACTCTCGTGTAGGAAGAATGTTTCCTAAGGCGGTTTGTAGGCTTTCTTTCAGTGTTCGTTCAAACTCCAAGAATCTTCTATCAAGCACATCACCGATAGATATTTCCTTCACCCTAGAGAACTTTATGTCTCTAGCTTGAAAATGTGGATTATAGGCAACAACGGGCATCTTGATCTCATTTAGTGAAGGATTTTTTTTTCCTTTTTTTTTGTTTGTGTTTGCACACTCTTTCAACTTCGGGACCAAAGTTTTACTTAGATCCTTGAACTTTTATGAGTATGACCACACATTTTTGTTTTTTTTTTAAACTAACACTACTACATGAAAAAGTGAGAACAAAATTGAGGTTTGTGAACTTTATAAAACAAGACCATTTCCCCGGCAACGGCGCCAAAAACTTGATCGGGCTAAACTTGCAAGTATACAAGTGCCGATGTAGTAATAAAATACCGGTAAATACCGGGTTGATCCACAGGGAAATGTTTGATATTATAAAGTCGAGTATTGAATGAAAAGAATGTAAATGATATATTTTTTTCAGGAACTTTGCTCTTTGAGATTGGTTTAAACAAGAATGAGAATTACTAAGGCAATCGGGATTCACCTAAATGCTTTAATAGTTATTAAATAATAGTTCTTCCCCAATAATCATGAATACGATGTCGCTAATATATTCTCAACTTCGGTTAAGGCAGCGAGAGTGTGGTTTTCGTTACGTGTAAATCCCGTTACGGCTTACATTCATCTACTGAAAACCCCGTTGAATATCAAGACATCACACCCGTATCATATAAGACCGGATATATTTCTATTCTCCATACTATATATGTTTATCCTTTAATGTTCATAGTTTAGACTTCAACGTTAATTGCAAGCATAAACTAAATTTAACATACTTCTATGTTGTACACCATAGTCATAAAAAATCAAAATATAAAGGATAAATCACAATTTATTAGTTTAGAACTTTTATCAAACACCTAGTATGCATAGAGGTTCATCCCTAGCCTTAGCTAAGGAATTAGCCTCTAATGCTCATATTAATCACAATACAATATTGAAATGCAATGGAACATGAAATTACAAAGGAAATAATACCTAAACACCAATGATTTCGGAGGTTGAAGTTTCCTCCTCAAGAACTTGAAGAAAAAGAGCAAGAACAAATTATAAAGACTAAGAATTAATCTATGGAATGTAATGTTATTGCTTGATGAATTAAGGGCTTTATATAGGCTAAAGAAAGGCATCTTTTAGTCTATTCAAGCCTAACAATCGGGTTTGGAAGCAATATTTGATCAGATGTGGAGGAAGATGGGTTTTTCCCATCAGAAATCTTCTGCACGTCGAACTATTTTAGCAGAAAATCGTCCCAACCGGCCCTGGTCAGTCTAGAACCGGCCCCGGTCGCAAACAGGCTCGTTAAGTGCGAAAAAACCTTCCAACCGGCGCCGGTTATAGGCTGACCGGCGCCGGTTGCAGCGCCCCAAAATTGTACTTCGTCTTTCTTCCTCCGAAATGGATCAAAACGTGTCGATTTTTGTACCGGGATTTTGGGAATGTTCCGCTATGAATTTGGACATGATTCCTTCACCAAAGTTGTAGATAATGAAGTCTTCTATCCACCAAAACTTGAATGACGTGATTTTATTCATCCAATCAAACGTTATGGCTAAAACACTAAGAGGTATGCATCCTGAAATCCCACCAGCAACATCTGACTTTGTTGGTTGATTGAGTCTTGTTCCTTTCATATTTTGGCCATGACGTCTTCATAACATTTGTACCTTATTGAGTTAACATTCACATGAAATTCGAATCGAGTGATTTCGAGTTCTCTACAATACGTTATACTCAAATTATGGGCAGAACGTCATCCTCTTGGTCTAAAAAAACGTTCATCACAGTGTTTTATGTCTTAGCTCTCATTTTGAAGGTATTTGTCCGATTTCTCTTCTTTTCTTCAACAAATACTTATAAATACTTATGTTAAACACAAGTAAATATAACGTCTATCAGTCTTCCACCCTAGGGAGTAGGGACAGCGATAGACATGACTCTTTATAAACCATTTCTTCTAAAAAAAACAACTATTGAAGATCACATTCTAGTCTTGATTGTATCGATTCGAGATGCGAGGTTGGTTATTTTAAAGTTTAATTTCCACTGGAACCTTGTTGTTGTTATATTCCCTTCATATCATTTTGCAATAATTTAACTATTAAATTTGATAATCATTGGATTTCTAAATCACGTCAAGTCTTGTCAAACTCGACCTAGTTTCATTGGACATAATTTAAAGTAGATCTCAAACACGTACTAGTGTTTATCAACTTTAATTAATGAATTCGTTACTAAGCATTGACATTTGATGCTTGATTTTCATTTTCATTCCACTCGAATCCATTTATTAAGAGTTTAATCTGACATTGATTAATAATTTAAAAGGAAATAACACACAAAAATCTGTGCAAAATCTGAATTCAAGTCCCGTAAAATAGAGCTTCTACACACAAAATAAGAGAATAACAAGCAATTTCGTGGATTAAACACCAAAAGAGAAGAAGAATAGTAAACAATTGGAAGAAAGAATGGGAAAATCGATCAGAGGTTTCACTTCTTCTTGTTCTTAATCAAGATATTGTGATGATCTCTGCTGCCATGAAAAGAGAAGACGGAACCGATACCCACAAAGAGATTCGCCGGAGAGACATTCAGGACGGGGCTAACCCTGACTCCCGCCCCGTTGTTGTTACTACTCCCAGCACCCGCCGCCGATTTCTTCAGAGGAGGCTTTTGATTATGCTTGGCGGAAGAAGATTTGTTGAAAAATAAGGTTCTCAATTTGGGAGCAGAACCGGTAGAATGGCTCCGCGATAAAAGCGGCGGCAGAGGGCATAAAGTTCTGGCGTATCCGCCGCTACTCCCGCCGCAATTCAGGCTGGAACTACGCTTGAAGCTCCAAAACGAACTGCTGCTCTGCTTTTGCCTGTCCGGCGGTTTGGTCTCTCCCGCCGCCGATCGGTCTCTTCCTTGGAGCGGAGGAGGGGCGATTCTCCTCTTGATCTCGATGGGGAGAATCTGGCCGTTGAAGAAAAGCTCGTCGGCTGAGGTGGTGAGCGAATCCTGGTGGTCGAAACACTCGCGGAAGACGCAGAAATCGAAGTCAATGCTGGAGGATGACCGGACGACGTACTGCTCGACGGGGACGATGTCAGCCTGAGAAATGTCGTGGGAGAATGATATCCGGGGACACTCATCTGAGCACAAGTCCACCGCCATTTTTCTTCTTCTTCTTCTCCAAGTATGGATGGATGGATGGATCGATCTAATCTATAACAGAATTGGATGAGAGAAAGTGATTTGATGACAGCTTCTCTGACACTACTGCTCGTTTGGTTTAGGATGATGATGATGATGATTTTATGTACAGTGATGATAATACCGGCCGGCTCACAATATTCGTCCACTAAAACCAAACTACTTCAATTATGTGTCGTGGACCTATACATTTCAATTTCAAACTTGTGTCCTACCTACTAAAAAAATATAGAAATTGTCGAATAAAAATGTTTGAAATTTCAAAATGAGAATTTTGGAAAAATGTCATGTTTAAAAAGTCCAGTTGATGAATATGTTTTGTTGATGACTAACCATGCAGGAACACAGGATAGACCTGATCTATAAACATATGTGACTAACCATGCAGGAGGAACAAATACAGAACCATTCCTGTTCTGTGATTTAGTGAATTAATATGGGCATACGTAATATAGTTTCTCATGCATGATCATTTGACCCCTTTGGAAAGTATTTTTAATGATGCATTCGAAATAAAGTTGACCGACCCATTTGTGCATATTATAAATATAAATGGCTACTTCAAGTATTGATATCTCGATGACCATATACTTAGAAAAGTAAGTATTTTACTTTCCATTTGAAAAAACCATCGATACCTTAATTTTTAAGGTAATCATTTTGAATGAATAAAACCGTTGCAGCTTGATCAATAAAATATCTTGTTTCTTTTTCCTTCCTTTATTAAGCACCCAATCTAAATGGTATCTCGGTGCATGATTGATTTGCTGCTAATGAATATTTGATTGTGATATTGTGGGATATATAGTAATTTGACTACCTAAGCTAATTGGCTCGGATATGGAAATCATAAAGCAAGCAAAGCAATTCAAATTTATCAAGGCAAATCCCAATATCTAGCTAAGGAAAGAAGAGCCGACGGATATCACTCATCCAAGCTATATATATTCGTCTGAAGGCAAAAATGAAAGGGACTTGACCGAAAAAATTACTAAGGAGAATCACTCAAGAAAAAGGATCAAGTCCATAGCGCCTGAAACTGCTCACGAAGTTCTAGATAGAGTTTTTCTACTTCCCTTCTTGTAATTCGTGTTTGAGGCAAAGCTAAGTGTAGCTACCTCGAGTTGGGAAAAGTGTGTGTGTGAGAGCTTTGTGATAAAGCTGAGAGGCTCTCTACCCAAAAGGTAGAGATGCATAACTCTTCCTAGAGAGGATAGAGTTGGGGAGGCTCAAGGGTAGATTAGGAGAATCACTCTTGTAACTCTTTCAAGGCTTGTTTTAGTGAAGTTGTTTAAAATTCCTCCGAGGGAGGTCGAGGTTTTTTAATCCCTTTGAGCCAAGGGATTTTTCCTCGTTAAATCCTTGTGCACTTTACTTTTTACAATTCCCTTTACCTCACACTAGAACCAAGCGGAAAAAAAAAACTGCCACGGTTCCCCACACACACAATTCACCCCCCACCCCCACCCCCCCCTCCTCTTGTGTTGCTAACCGTTTTCATCACCAGTAATGTCAAATTTGACAAAAATTTAATCCTATTCATGGAATAAAAAAACATAATAATCTTATTTTGGAATTTCAAAATATTTTACTCCTATGTAAGAAATTCTCTCTAAAAAATATCCAGCCGTTTCATGAGATTGAAATTGGGCGAGTAGGATGATTTTTCTTAAATTAATAAACTTCGCGTTGAAATTTGTGAAATGATTAAATTATCTACATCGATTTGTTGAGTTTTGAAAAACTAAATTTAAATCATATTATATCATGAAAATAATTGGACAAACATAGCTAAAATACTCCGATTCATCAATTTCAGTCAATTCTGTCATAAAAATAAATCTAATTTCACTTTAATTATTGTACAATTCAGTGCACGAAATTAAGAATTACGTGTTGTGAAAACATCTCTTCTTTTAAAAATTGTGAGAGATATGCTTCTGCTCTTATTTAGTTACAACACTTGAATGTACACATTTGTCAGCCAATGACTTTGTTAAGTACTAATACAAATAAATACTCGTAGCTATTAGTTATAATGAAAATTATATATATAAAAAAAGGTGATTATTAATTGATTAAATTGTGGTTATGATCACTTCCAAATAAGCGTTTGGGATTCATATTTCACAAACTAGGGCATGTATTCTCAATTTGTTAACACACACGAGGCCTCCGTTTGAACTCTATCAAAAAGAAGGTGACATGTCGCTATTTATACATTGGCGACATTTTCTTTCTTACTGCGTAGACGGAGACTTCCAAATTGAAAACTCGTATCTACTTTATGAAAAAATGAATCTCACTCTTATTTGAACTTGAGCAAAATTACGAATACCTTTTTATACTTATCTAGTTCTAGTTAAAATAACTGAAAGACTGTGTTTTTTGGTTTACATCAAGATAAACTTGAAAAACATTATTGAGATTTATTCCTTCAACTCTAATGGCCCAACATGTTCCCTTGAGTTTCTATGGAATACTTTGGGTGGATCTGAAGACACAAGTACTTAGCAAATGAAAGGAGGGACAGTAAGTGAGCCAAGTTCTTATTAGACAATCAATAACAATTACAACACATCACACCCTACAGAGGTTGAGGTCGAGCGTCCAGTTTTAGTTGTGAGTACATGAGATTAGAAGCTACGGCTAGTGAGTACAAGTTGTCAACCCCTAACAATGAAATAAATGCTACGTAGTACTATTTATACTACCATGGGGTCGGTGGTAGTGCTGATGTGGAGGATTATGATTGCCTAATCTCCCAACCACCAAATCTCGCATATCTGACGCATTTAACACGTTTCCAGCCAATATTCTTGCTTTCCAGATAAATGCAAGCAATGTTGTCGCGCGGCGAATGCAGAGCGCTCATGCCGAGGCCTCCGTGATTACTTGGCCTAAGCGAGTCAAGGTAACAGTGCCGCGCGGGATGCACTGCCCAGGCCCTGGCGCCCTGCCGAGCGCCGCATGGACTAGGCCTTTGCAACCCTCAATTCTTTTTCCTTATGGGGTATTAGGCTGTTCTCGTATTGGGCCAATTACCCCAACAAACATTTTCTATAATTTTGAAAAGACCAAATTACTTGGAGAGCCATAAGAGAGTTCTCATTAGATTGGGGATTTATGAGACTGAGACACAAATCAAGATATTTGTCACAAGATTAGCCTCATCATCAATGAAAACTTGTTTACCTATACAGAAACTCAATAATCAAATGAAAATGTGTAGGAAAAAGCACCAGAGATCAGATTGCACCTCATGAAAATGAGATCTCAATCTCTGGTGGAATTTTGATGAATTCTTGGAGCTCAATTTTTCTTATGAGAGCCGTTACTTGTACCTTGGATTGAGCATTTATTCTTGTTCTCCTTTTTGTATCTTCCATGTTTTTCTTTTTCTTCTGTTCTATGCAATCTTTTTTAATCAGTCAACTATAATATTTTCCTTTTCAAAATACTAATCATTAATATATATTTAAAACAGAGTCATGAATAATAGAAAATCTAGTATGTTCTAATTAAGAGTATGTTTGAAAGCTGAAATTGATTATGCTGAAATTGGAGAAATTGTCCTTGAAATGTCTTTGAATTGGCTAAGGATGCCAAATTATAAATTAAAGAAAAGATAATAAGAAAATAGCTAATGAATAACGTGTCCGAGTAAATTTTGAGAAATAGTTTGGATGTGCATATAATATAATGAGGTCATAGTTTATAAATGTGATGTTATATTATTTTCCATATATGATGATTAAACTTTTCATTTAATAGTGTTAATCATGATCTCCTCAAATAAAAATGAGAACCTTTAACTACGATTTTCAGAAAAGGCAAATGCAAAGGCTTTGTGAAACATAGAGACACTTTTTAACAATTTCAGTCAATTCAATAAGAATGACTAATTTTATTCTGCTCATTTTAATTATTACAAAATGTAGTATGTGAAATCAAAATATATGCTTTTGATATAAAAAAATCGATGATAATAAGACTCACGAATAAAGAATAATAATTTCTATAAGTAATATTAGTTTTTGGAAAAGCGTACCTCTCGAGCACCTAGAGGCAAACAAAAATTAGGGTTTAGCATTTGTGCGAATAGCTTGTGCTGCCACAATGCGTGTGAGGATCGTGGTATGTCCTCTGCATAGGGGGGTACTTTTTTTATCTAGGATTCGGCGGTTCTATGGATCGGAAAAAGTCTTCTCTGGTAGTTGTCTTGATATGTGAGAAGGTCAGACATTTTGTGTTTCTTGCTTGCTGCGTGTTGCTACTTGCTGCCAAAAGTTTAAAGGTGTTGTGATTTATGAAGATGGAGGCAAGTTTAGAGAAGATTTGCGGTAGATTGGCTCTAGAGGGACGTGCCTTCGATCCTAAATGTGCAGGCATAGCAGAGAATGTGATGCACAAGGAGCGGAGTGAGGAAGACGATGCAGTATTGTCAGTTCGTCCCCCTCCCGAACCGCCGCAATGGAAGGACTGTATGGCCAGGGTTTGGATGGAGACGTTTCAAGTTTGAATTTGACCTGAAACGGTTTATTGCTCTATTTTTCTTTCTAGCTTTATTTATGTTTCTTTAGACCTTTTACTTCGTTTTTGGTCTCATTGTGTTTGTGGTTTTATTGAGGTGCTTATGGGCGTTATTTGTCTTAAAGCTCCTGTATGTTCAGCGAAAAGTTTCACTCGGTTTTGGGTACGGGGAGCGTGGGACAGTATGAGACGGTTATTTCAAAAAATATGTCTCGTCCCAAAGTACGATTTTTTTAAAAAATTGAATCGGTATCGTTCCAAATATATAGAACATGTCCCATTCTGTACCAATTATTGGTACGGTTCGATACGATTCGGTACGGTTCTTCGATACTATTCAATTCCGAAATAATTAACTCCCACGAAGTCAAAAATATGTACAGTAAAAAAGTAAAAAATATTCTAGGTTTTAGCATTTATAAGTAATTGTACAAAAAATGAAGAGAATGGACTACACGATTGAAAAGTTTACGTTAAAAAATAAAGATAACCATAGCTTTAAATTACGATAGTATAGATTATTGGTTAATATAATACGTAGCATATAATATAATGTATATATATAATTTTATATCACCAATTATTCGAGACGATGGGGACGGTTCGGTTCAATAT